AAAGTTAAATAAATGAATAAAATGTAATTAATAAATGAATATGGGGCCAGGTACAGTGGCCTGCATCTATAATCCCAGCACTTTGGGAGGCCAAGGTAGGAGGCTCACTTGAGGCCAGGAGTTCAAGACCAGCCTGGGCAACATAGCAAGACACCCATTTCTATTTAAAAAAAATTCTAAAATTAGCCAGGCATGGTGGTAGACACCTGTAGTCCCAGCTACTTGGGAAGGTGAGACAGGATTGCCTGAGCCCAGAAGTTTGAGGTTACAGTGAGCCATGATTGTGCCACTGCACTCCAGCCTGAACAACAAAGTGAGACCCCAACTCTAAAAGTGAAATTAAATTAAATTAAAAATAAGTAAATAAATATGGGTTATGTTGTGAAGCATAGAAGGAGAGACCAGGAGGGACAATTTGGGCCACTTCTCTGGCCCCAGTTTCTAATATTCTTGCTAAAATGTAGGACATCTGGTAATCCCAAACCAGTTATTTTTTTTATTGATTTTAGGTTTTGGGGTACATGTGAAGAACATGTAAGACTGTTACATAGGTATACATAGCAGTGTGGTTTGCTGCCTTCCTCCCCATCACCCATATCTGGCATTTCTCCCCATGTTATCCTTCCCCAACTCCACCCCCCGTCCCTCCCCTATTTCCTCCCAACTGACCCCAGTGTGTGATGCTCCCCTCTCTGTGCGCATGTGTTCTCATTGTTCAAACCCACCTATGAGTGAGAACATGCGGTGTTTGATTTTCTGTTCTTGTGTCAGTTTGCTGAGAATGATGGTTTCCAGGTTCATCCATGTCCCTACAAAGGACATGAACTCATCATTTTTTATGGCTGCATAGCATTCCATGGTGTATATGTGCCACATTTCCTTGTCCAGTCTATCATCCAAGGACATTTGGGTTAGTTCCAAGTCTTTGCTATTGTAAACAGTGCCACAATGAACATTCATGTGCATGTGTCCTTATAATAGAATGATTTATTATAATCCTTTGGGTATATACCCAGTAATGGGATTGCTGGGTCAAATGGAATTTCTATTTCTAGGTCCTTGAGGAATTGCCACACTGTCTTCCACAATGGTTGAACTAATTTACATTCCCACCAACAGTGTAAAAGTGTTCCTAATTCTCCACATCCTGTCCAGCATCTGTTGTCTCCAGATTTTTTAATGATCACCATTCTAACTGGCATGAGATGGTATTTCAATGTAGTTTTGATTTGCATTTCTCTAATGGCCAGTGATGATGAGCATTTTTTCATATATTTGTTGGCCTCATATATTTCTTCTTTTGAAAAGTGTCTGCTCATATCCTTCACTCATTTTTGAATGGGCTTGTTTTTTTTCTTGTAAATCTGTTTTAGTTATTTGTAGATTATGGATATTATTAGACATTTGTCAGATGAGTAGATTGCAAAAATTTTTTCCCATTCTGTTGGTTGCTGATTCGCTCTAATGACTGTTTCTTTTGCTGTGCAGAAGCTGTGGAGTTTGATTACGTCCCATTTGTCTATTTTGGCTTTTGTTGCCAATGCTTTTCGTGTTTTAGTCATGAAGTCCTTGCCTATGCCTATATCCTGAATGGTTTTGCCTAGATTTTCTTCTAGAGTTTTTATGGTGTTAGGTCTTATGTTTAAGTCTTTAAACTGTCTGTAATTTTAGTGTAAGGTGTCAGGAAGGGGTCCAGTTTCTGCTTTCTGCATATGGCTAGCCTGTTTTCCCAACACCATTTATTAAACAAGGAATCCTTTCCCCATTGCTTGTTTTTGTGAGGTTTGTCAAAGATCAGATGGTTGTAGATGTGTGGCGTTGCCTCTGAGGCCTCTGGTCTGCTCCATCAGTCTATATCTCTGTTTTGGTACCAGAACTATGCTGTTTTGATTACTGTAGCATTGTAGTATAGTTTGAAGTCCGGTAGTGTGATGCCTCCGACTTTGTTCCTTTTGCTTAGAATTGACTTGGCTATGTGGGCTCTCTTTTTGTTCCATATGAAGTTTAAGGTGTTTTTTTCCAGTTCTGTGAAGAGAGTCATTGGTAGCTTGATGGGGATAGTGTTGAATCTGTAAATTACTTTGGGCAGTATGGCCATTTTCACGATATTGATTCTTCCTAATCATGAACATGGAATGTTTCTCCATCTGTTTCTGTCCTGTCTTATTTCGTTGAGCAGTGGTTTGTAGTTCTCCTTGAAGAGGTCCTTTACATTACTTGTTCCTTGTATTCCTAGGTATTTTATTCTCTTTGTAGCAATTGTGAATGGCAGTTTGTTTTTGATTTGACTCTCTTTAAGTCTGTTACTGGTGTGTAGGAATGCTTGTGATTTTTGCACATTGACTTTGTATACTGAGACTTTGCTGAAGTTGCTTATCAGTTTAAGGAGATTTTGGGCTGAGATGATGGGGTCTTCTAAATATACAATCATGTCATCTGCAAATAGAGACAATTTGATTTCCTCCTTTCCTAGTTGAATATGCTTTATTTCTTTTTCTTGCCTTATTGCTCTGGCTCGAACTTGCAATACTATATTGAATAGGAGTGGTGAGAGAGGGCATCCTTGTCTAGTGCCAGATATCAAAGGGAATGATTCCAGTTTTGCCTATTCAGTATGATATTGGCTGTTGATTTGTCATAAATAGCTTTTATTATTTTGAGATACATTCCATCAATACCTAGTTTATTGAGGGTTTTTAGCATAAAGGGCTGTTGAATTTTGTCAAATGCCTTCTCTGCACCTTTTGAGGTAATCATGTGGTTTTTGTCTTTGGTTCTGTTTATGTGGTGAATTTTGTTTATAGACTTGCATATGTTGTTCCAGCCTTGCATCCCCAGGATGAAGCCTACTTGATCATGGCAGATAAGCTTTTTGATGTGCTGTTGCAGTTGGTTTGCCAGTATTTTATTGAAGATTTTTGCATCTGTGTTCATCATGAATATCAGCCTGAAGTTTTATTTCCTTGTGAGTCTCTGCTGGGTTTTGGTATCAGGATTACGTTGGTCTCATAACATGATTTGGGAAGGATTCCCTCTTTTTGGATTGTTTGGAGTAGTTTCAGAAGAAATGGTACTGATAACAATGTATTTTCAATTGCATTTATGTTTCTAACTTGTCACACTGATACAGCATTAACCTCCCAATGATACAGCGTTAACATTTATTATTTTCTCTACTTAACTACCCAGATGGTGTGTTTTCCTTATTTCTCAGCCTGGCTTGAGTTCTGGGACTTAGTGTTAAGGATAGCTCAGCTATGAGATGTATTCATAAAATTTTGAGAAATAGAAGGCAAGACAGATACAACATCTAGACGGGAAGGATGAAGACAGTTTGAGAAGGATAAAAGTTAGCAAGGATAGGGACAGGACACTCTAGGGCAGTTGGAGAAGGGAAAGCAAAGGATGCTCAGAGGGACAGCCTACTACTCTTGGCAGCTGAGGATATGGAGAAGGATGGTAGATTGAGTCAATCAATGTATGTGTTGCAGAGGCAGTTGGAGAAGATGGCCAGATGGGAAACAATTCTCATTTTTAACAAGGGAGTTGGCATAGGAGAAAAAGTTGTGGTGAGGTCAAGGGAGGAAGGACAAAGAGTTATTTGTCTCAGGTAGGTAATGGATGAGCAGAGGTAGGTGTAAGTTAGTTCCAGGGCAGGATATAATAGGTTTTCAGAATAATGCTCCCCTTTGATCTCTTACTTACCACCCTAGACCCCTGCAACCAGTTTCTATCAGTGTTGATTTCTATCCTGTCATATTGGAAATGTTTAATAAATGCAGACTAAATATAGCAGAGCACATTTTCCCTTTTCTTAGCCAAACCTCTCGTTCTCCTCAACTTTTAGTACTGTGTTCTGTCACCACCATTTATTGAACAGTTCTTCATTCTAGTTCACTCCCATAAGAATGACTTTAAGACCTCTGAGTCTGGGAAAATTCTCTGTTCAATTATTTTGTCCATTTTCTTATTGAGGATTTGTTTTCTTATTACTGAGTTTTCATAGTTCTTTATATTATGGTTTTCCTTGTTTTTTGTTTTTATAGAGGCAAAGTCTCACCGTGTTTCCAAGGCTGGTCTCAAACTCCTGGGCTCAAATGGCCCTCTCCCCTTGGCCACCAAAAGTGCTGCGTGCCCAGCTAGTTCTTTACATTCTGGATTTCAGTCCACTTGCAAATATTTTCTCCCTATCTGTAGCTTGTCTTTTAATAGTCTCTTTTGAAGAGAAGTTTTAAATTTTGGTAAAGTCCAATTTATCAGTGCTATTGTTTTATGAATCATTTTTAGTGTTATATCAAAAAATTCTTTGCATAACTCAGTGTCACAATTTTCTCCCTTTTTAAAAGAAGTTTTAGGAGTTACATTTAGATCTAGGATGCATTTAGAGTTAATTTATTTCCATGATGTAAGGTATGAGTGCAAGCTTTTTTTTTATTTTGTTTTTTCATATGGATACCTAGTTGTTTTGGCACATTTTGTTTAAAAGACTATGCTTTCTCCACTGAATTGCCTTTACACATTGGTCAAAAATCAGTTGCTCATCTATGTGTGAATCTATTTCTATGCTCTCTTATTAAGTTCCTTTAACCTATTTGTGTATGTGTAGGCTCATTGTTTTTTAGATGAAATAACTGGAATCACCCTTTCCTCAGCTAGTTAGCTTACAATTAGTGGATTACTTATATATAAAACTTAAATTTTTGAGTGAAGAATTATGACTGAACCAAAGTAGAGAAAAGGAGTAAGTTGTAAAACTTTCAAAAACAATGAAAGAGTATTATAACGAATTTATCACCATCAAAAATAGAACAATTGTCTAAGGTCAAATTAAAATCGTTTAAAATATTATCCCTTTTTAGTTATATGTAGAAGCAGTTTTACATTCATAGTAATAATATATAACTAAGCATGTCCATTTCCATACATTTTAATTTTTAGGATTTCACATCTGTTTTGTATCAAAACATTTTATCTATTTTGTTTGTTCCTTTATTCTACAGGATTAAGTTTGCAGCATGATATAGCCAGTTCTCATCTGAACTATTCAATCACAGACTCTTATACAGAATATGAGAGTTTTGAAGAGAACTTCCCATCACCTGAACTGTTCAGAAAATCAGATTATTTAGGTAAGAAAGTAATTCCAACCTTAGATTGCTCTACTATAAAAATTATTCCTTTGTCCACAAATCCTCCAATGAATAAATGTCCCTTTAAAGAAGGCATACTCTTCTTCCTCACCAACACCTTACTTCCTTGACCATTGCCCATTGTATTTCATTCCCAGTCACACAGTAGAGCAAGAGTAGATCAAGGAAGGATGAAGAAATATCATTTAGCATTTATATGTAATGCACATCCAATTATTAATGAATTTTGCACCTAATGAATGTATACTTGTTCTCTTGAACCGTGGGTTATCTTTTTTTCCTGCACTTCTCTTTCTTTTCAGCAAGTAACTTAAATGTTGGCTAGGCCAAGTCCCTGCTTGAATTTTCTCCACAAACTAAGAGTTATTTACATTTATTATACATATAAATGCAACCTTTGGTTAATGATGGCAGATCAAATACATGCCTTACTCTACCATCTTGCAATGGCAGAAAACAGATTTTTCTTTAAAATAATACACTCAAAAGGACAAAGATAATTGGGAAAAATAAAGTACCAAGTTTGGAAAGTTAGAGATCAGTTGGTTTGATACAGCAGACCTAAGAAATCAGAGTCCTAAACCAACAATGTGAATACCCTAGAAACAGCCAATTTGCACTATGGTGTCACAGAAGAGCTCATAATATGGTTGTTCCAAATACTTATTAATAGATGTTAAAAACATGAAAGATGTGATGAACTGCTTCTTTACTGCTCAAAGGGAGCCAGGAGATTTATTCTTTAGAATGTTTTAAAACAGAGACTCTAGCCGATTGCAACAGCACATCAAAAAGCTTATCCACCATGATCAAGTAGGCTTCATCACGGGGATGCAAGGCTGGTTCAATATACGCAAGTCTATAAACGTAATTCACCATATAGACAGAACCAAAGACAAAAACCACATGATTATCTCAATTGATGCAGAGAAATTTTTGAC